CCACAGATTTACATATTCTTAAAAGGTGCAAAATACATGTAAGTGCATATGCACACACACACACACACACACACACACACACACACACACAAGGAAAAGAGGGATTGTATTTCCTAGATCAGACACTTCAGAAGAGAATTCTTTGTTTAGATAGGAAGGGTCAAAACTGTGTTTCATTATTAATAAAGGCATACTTTTTTGGTAACATTAAAAACTCTTCCTTTTTCCTTCCGATCTGTGACACTGATAGCTGTCGACTTGCTGGAGAAGATGCTTGTATTAGACTCAGACAAGAGAATCACAGCCACCCAAGCCCTTGCGCATGCCTACTTTGCTCAGTACCACGATCCTGATGATGAACCAGTGGCTGATCCTTACGATCAGTCCTTTGAAAGCAGGGACCTCCTTATAGATGAATGGAAAAGTAAGTCATAAGGGGCAAGATTCACATCTAGCTTGAGAATTTAGATTTAAAAATCTTTCCTAGGTGAGCCACTCACCAAAAGCTGGGAAAAATTAAAATTCTGGTTATAACCAACTCATTAAAATTTGTAATTAGGATCTCTAATGCAGAATAAATATGTTCTTCTGATAGAAACTGTCTGTTGTAGATGATGACACCCTCTGGACCTTTGAGATGCTTATATCTGACCTGATTTTGCGTACAGCCCTTCACATCTGCACAGAGCTTTGAGGTTCTCAGAATCTTTGTATTTACAGTAGCTCTCTGAGATAAGTAAGGAATAGGGCGTTTTTTTGTAGTTTCACAATTGATAAAACTGGGGCAAAAAGAGTTTCTGTCTTATCTATTACCTTAGGCCTAGTTAGGGACTGAGCCAGAAATGGCACCCACGTCTCCTATGTCCAACCTCATATTTTCTCCGTAAAGCAGAAGTTCAGAACTCCAGTTAAATCCCCAAAGCCAGGACTGTGTGCTGCTCTAGCTTGTGGAAGTGCTCTGTTATTCTTGAGTACTTTCTCAGAGAGCTTTAAAGAGGAGGCACTATGTGATTAAATAAATGAGAAAAAATGTTTCTTTTATACGTATCCTTGAACTTCTGTGTGATGACATGTTCCACTAGGATATCAACTCAAGCAGTGAGGCAGTTATTTGAAGCAGTGCATCAAACCACTGGCCCACACAGGGAAGGTAGATGGCTTGCCAGCAAAGACAGTCTAAACTCTCACCTCCTACTTTTCCTTCTCAATTTCTAGGCCTGACCTACGGTGAAGTCATCAGCTTTGTGCCCCCGCCCCTTGACCAAGAAGAGATGGAATCTTGAGCACCTGGTTTCTGTTCTGATCCCACTTCACTGTGAGGGGAAGGCCTTTTCATGGGAACTCTCCAAATATCATTCAAGTGCCTCTTGTTGCAAAGATTTCCTCCATGGTGGAAGGGGCGTGTGTGTGTATCTGTGTCTATGTGTGCATGAGCACACATGCATGCGCACGTGTGTGCGTGTGCATGTGCACTTATGTGTGTCTGTCTTTGTGGGAGGGTAAGAGAAGGTGAGCAAACAATGATCGCAGTGACTTTATGTAGAGGTAAGATGCTCCGTGGCAGCCTCTGCTTGCTCTTTGTGAGGGTCAGATTGGGCAGGCAAGAGCTGCCATCTCATAGGGTTTGTTAAAAGCAAAGTGAAGATTATTAAATGTCCCAGCTCTTGGTCATGCTTTTGTCATCCTGTGGCCCCACCTTGATGGTGGGGGTGTAGATTGACCACATCCCATGGTGGCACAGAGAGAAGACGTGCACCGTCTGGCTGCTTCAGATCTGAAGCCGTCCCTCAGCCATGAGAACAGCCAAAAAGGACCAACTGGCTTCTGTGCACTAGGCTATGATTAACTTGCTCAGTATGATTCTCAGAACTCAGCAGTGTATCCGAAACTGTAAATATGTTTGTGCCTTAAAAGGAGAGACGGAGTGTAGATTGTAGGAAAGTACAGCCAGTGAGGTTCTGGGCCAGGCAGGTAGTCAGGCTGTCGGACGGCCGTTTATGAACCCGAAGTAACCCGGGAGCCCTCTGAGGCACCGTGTGTGCATGTGTGAGCATGCATATATGTGCTTCTCTCTCTTTCTGCCTCACCCCCCCAGGCATTGCCGTTCCTTTGCTTATGCCCACCTTCCATGCAGAGGTTCCCTGAGTATCAGCCCCAGTAGTGAGAAGCCAGTTCTTGCTGTCAGTATACCTCCTGTGTGTTCTTTTTTCCTAGCAGAGTGGCAATATGTTTTGCACGTCTTGCTATTTGAGCATGCACAGCTGCTTGTCCTGTTCTCCTCGGGAGGCCCTGGTGCCAGTGGAGACCTCTTGGGTCGTTCAGAACCCACGTCCCTGCAGCTGACGCTGTGGGCAGGTGACGACATCCTCTCTTCAGCTCCCAGTGCTGTTTTGTGTTGAACACAATTGATATTCCAGGTGCTTTTGATGTGAAAACTATGAAGAAATGGAACAGATGGGTGTATAACATTATCAGTCTTGCCATCTGATTTTCAACAAACTGTTTTTGAGGAGCTATCATGGGAAAGATCAGGGCTTTTCCCAGGAATATCTCAGACTTTGGAAAACAAGTTGTTCTCTTCACTCCCAGTAATCAGTGCTAAGAAATGCTGAAAATCAAAGTGAAAAATAAAAGCTCATGAGGACAGAAACTCCTTTGGCTACCTTTGCTAAATATGATATTTAAAAAAAAAATAGTAACGAGATGTCTCTTCCACCCTTCTTTGGAAAAGGGTCTTCTTGGCAGCTTAACATTGACTTCTTGGTAAGAATGTGATTCCTTTTGATGGGGAGAAAGGGCAAATTATTTTAATATTTTGTATTTTCAACTTTATAAAAGGTGAAATATCCTCAGGGGTGGAGAAGAGTTGTTTTCGTAATTTTCGAATTTCAGGCATCTTCTGCTACATATGGGCCCATATAGTCAAAGCTTTTGTGAAATAAGAAAGTATAAAGCCACTTCCAGGATTGACTGTGTGATGAAATCTTGTACTGGGACTAAGGTATTTGCATTTCTCTGTCACAGCGCAGTGATTCATGCACTCCAGAGGGACAGGGTAGGACCCTTGAGTCAGCTGGAGCAAGAAGGAAGGAGGCGGGCCGGGGGTGATCTCACCTCTCCCCTCTCTAAAGGAAAGTGAGTGCGAAGGCCTCATCTCCTTTATATGCAGTTCAAATCCTCACAATCCGCAGCAAGATGAATTGTATCAGCCATGTTTGGTTGTAAATGCTATTGTGATTTTCTACAGAAATACCGCTCTGAATATTTTCTCTTAAAGGTCTTTGCACATGTGACCATATGTGTGTTAGGAGCCTGGACTCAGCTGGAGTCTGCAGAAGAGCTCCTTAACTTCTGAGCATAATGCTCCATCTCCTGATTTCTCTGAACAGAAAACAAAAGAGAGAATGAGGGAAATTGCTGTTTTATTTGTATTCATAAAACTTGGCTGTAATCAATTATGCCATATAGGATGTCATACAATACCACTGGTTAAAATAAAGGCTATTTTTCAAATGTAGTGAGTTTCTCAAATTTGTCATATTTTTCTCTTGTTTTTATTCAATGCACAATATTGCATTACATCAATGTTCTTTCAGCTGTAGCCTGGCATACATTTCTGATAGACCTTAACAGTACTCCAAAATTTACAAAACATTTATAGGGCCCCTTAGTTGTACACTTTATGGTAAAGTGGATTCGAGTTGGAAGTGCCTAGGTAAAGCAATGAGCAGAGGAACAAGGTATAACACGGGGGCTCTGTATTAGTACACTTGGGTGTCAGCGTGGCCTAGGACAGAGGTCAGCACACTGTGGCCCAAGGGCCAACACTGCTTTTGTGTAGCCCACTAAAAATGGTTCTTACATTTTAAATGACTGAAATCAACAAAAGAATACTATTTTTGTAGCAGGTGAAAAATAATGTAAAATCCAAATTTCAATGTCCATAAATAAAGGTTTAAAAGAACATAGCCATACGTGTTTATATCTTGCCTACGGCTGCTTTTATGCTACAGTGGTAGAGTTGACTAGTTTCAGTAGAGACCATGTGGCCTCCAAAGTCTGAAGCATTTACTCTCTGGCCCTCTGCAGAAAACGTTTGCCAACCCTGACCAAAGACTGCAGTTTCCTCATCTGTCAAGTAAAGTTTATTTTTCTTTTCAGTTTTGATATTTAAGACTATCTGTAGAAGCGTATTTTTATTGTAAAATTGCCAGAGAGAAGAAGGTTGGATGTGTACATATATGTGTATATTTTTGTAGACTTTTAAGCAAATATATTTCATGGCTTTTAAAATCTGGCCCTTGGCAATATTCTTCAAAACTACTGAATTGTATCACAGAGTTAAAGGGCCACGAGGTCCCACAGCTGTTTTCAGGGCCTGCATTGTGCGCTTCCTCGCTCGGGGACCCAGGAATGCCAATAGGTGTGCCCGGTGGATTGTGAGGCCCAGCCTGTGAATGTATTGGGAGGGCTGGGGTTTTGTCCTGTGCTGTCTGGTTCCTGGCTGGCAGCTGGGAATGATGACAGTGATAGAAGGCACACCAAGTCTTTATCCTCAGTAATTCGTAAGGGGGTAAAAGAAAAGGACCCAGTTGTCGCATATGATATATCAGCCCCTCTAAGGATCAGACAATTGTAGGAAATACTTTGCCTTCACATACCAGCCATGAGCATTGGACATAACCTTCATCCAGGCTGCTGAGAGTGAGGGCCCAGCTTAGCTCAAGGAAAGAGCTGACACCAGAAAAAGCTCACCTAAGATGAATCCATTGCCTGTGGTGGGAGCTGGGGGAGAGAGGAAGTCTGACTGGGACTTTCATCATGGAAACAGAATGAAATTTTAAAGCCTATTCATAATTTCAAATATATTCTTATAATGAATAAACAAGGAATTGTATTTGTTTTTCAAGTGAATCCATATCCTATAATGTCCTTCCCATTTGATTTTTGCGGCATCATTTTACAGGGAATTTTTGCAACAGTAATTGAGTTCTTCCTCAGTTTTCCTAAGAGCCTTAATCTTTGGATATTCACATTGTTCTTTTTCATACATATGTATTGGTGATTACCTTACCACCCTTTCCTTCATTGTTAACTGGTCCGAGTGTGCCGGATTCACATTTTCCAGTGGCTTGGCTTCAGATTTGATTAGTTTTCTAGCATTATTTGTCAAGTTAGTCCAATCTACCATCTTGTGCAAGTTTTGCAATTGCAATTAACCTGCATCACATCTGTATCATTTGTCATATGCTTACAATATAATCAATTACAGACTAACAGAAGATGACTAGATTGGGTAGGAGAGACACTCTGGGTTCCAGGGCTTACAAAGCAAGGAGGGACTACTTTTATAAGTAGTCCATTCATTGGTGGATGTTTTCATGTGATGACTTGGACTTCTCTATACAATCTGATAGCTATGAGGACCTGACTAATGAATATGCAAATAATAAGGGCCCTTTTTATTTATAACATATGTTTTAATATACATAGCCTTTGAACTTAGCATTTACACTTCTCAGAACTTAAAGGCCTCACAAAAGCATAAAGGGAAAAATAAAAGGTTATTCCATGTCATGTTCTTTGCAATAAGGACTTGGTTGAATCAGATGCCGTCTGTCTGGTGGCATACCATGCACCCAAGTGTGGCTGTTTACTGAGGGAGAAAAAGTGAGTGGCAGACTATAGTATCCCCTCCCCACTTTTGTGTTGATGGAAAGATAGTTTCTGGCTGGGAGAAACCCAGAAGAACCACACCCAACTCTTAGCAACCATCCCTGGGTACTGGGATTGTAGGAGATGCTCTATTTTTGTGCAGTTTCTGTGTGTGTGTTAACACTGAGTAATTTTTTGTAAACAAAAACTTCAAATTGTTTTTGGTAAGTTTTTTTTTTATGTCTATGTGACCTGGGGAATCATTTCCCTATTTCAGTTTTGCCAGGGCCAGTTTGCCCCCTCCTCTGACTTTGCAAGACAGGAGAACACCTGCTGGGAAGGGGTTTCACTCAGCTGGCACTCCGGCAAGAAGAGCACCAGCTCTATACTTTATAGTAGGGTTCTTCTGCTGCAGGGGAGGGCATGGTGGTTTCTTCCCCAGCAGAAGGTCTGCAGCAGGGATTTTCAGCTTTGGCACTATTGATAACTTGGCGGGGTCATTTGCTGTGGGGGTTGGCCTGTGCACTGCAGGATGTTAAGCGGCCTCCTTGACTTCTACTCACAAGGTGACAGCACATATACCCCCTTCACCCACTTATAACTGCCAAAAACATCTCCAAACATTGGCTGAGAATCACTGATCTAAAGCTTAGACACCTGCAGTCTTGCAGAATAACAAAGCCCCTTTTCTTGAAATGAGGTTAATAACTTCTAATCTGTTGTTGCTTAAAGAAGTAGCTTGATATCTTGAGGGGAAGTGTAAGTATGAAAGGAAGACTTGAGTATATCTTTTGCGGGAAAGGGCAGATCTTAGGTAGTTCAGAAGAAAGTATGTTCCATACTGGATTAAGGCAATTCCTTTTCTATTAAAGAAAAAAGGAGGTGGGTATTTAGTGAATAAAGTTATCCTTTGTTCAGAAGCTCTTTGGCCATTATCCATAGCCAGAAACTAGTGATTAAACTGGGGTATGACCACAAGATTTTCTTAGATAGGCTGGTGATGGGTTACAGTGGAAGGAATACTGGGCTTTGAAGTCACACAGACCTGGACTCAAATCCCAGCTCAAGCTCTTACCAGGTATGTGACACTGGCTTTCAGGTGATTGTAAAGATTCAACAAAGTAACACCACCTCAATGTGCCCAGTATGCTGTGGACAGTCAAGATACTGGTTAGTTTGCATTTCACTTGAGTTGACCTTGGGATTTGAGTTTTCCTATTAGAGTGAGTGAGGGAGTGTTCTGCCCTGGGAACAGTGTGAGCCTCCAAAACCAACCAGGAGGAGAGCTCCTGAGGGTGGCCCAGGGGCTAGCTCCAGCACAGTTTCTGGAAAACTTACCAAGCCAGAGCCTGTGGTCTGAGTGGTCACAGCCAGTGGGATAATGTACTGCAACCCCATCTGATCAGTTCATTTTAGAAAATGTGCTTTGTTTGGAAATCACTAAGCACTTAAGTGAGGAAGTAACCTTAAGTCCAACTTTGCAGTTAGAAAAATACATGTCACCACCTTTTGAGTGTCATTTGAAGGGGGAAAAGAAAGAAATATATAAAACCCCAGGACCAGCCTAACCCCTTAACAAAGATCAGTGGTTCTCAACTCTTATCAGATCCAACACCCTTTGCATAATTAATATTTCATAACATCCCTTTTAGATCCTGAAGTGAAATTCATAGGTAATATACATACACATACACAGAACTTCTAAGGAAATAATGACAAAAAATAAACGATGGGTAAAGAAAAACTAAAAATACATTTCAATATGTAAACACTCAAGCATAACTTCATAAAAGGTGTAATTAAACAATTATGCCTACAGCTAAACACTGAATTCCCTTGAATGTGACAACTGCATTGTTGTCTCAGCAACTCAAACACCATGACTGCTGTCAGTCATGTGACTGAAACTGGTGAACAACTCGTGGTAAAATTTCAACCCAAGTGAGTGTAATCTTTTTTATTCACTCAGTCATTGTGATCTTTTTAAGTACACTCATATGCAAAAAAAACTTGGTGTTCTATACATAAAATCAAGTTACAGTCTAGGCTCAGATCATCATAAATAGGATTTTCCACCTACAGGAATGTCCAGCAGGATGGTTGGTTGTGACATGAAGCAGTTCTTGCTGTGCATGATGGCTCCTGCATTTTTGGCTAATAATGACCCCAGAGATTTCCAGAGGGCACCCTTTGAGAACTGCTGACGTAGATGGTATGACTGAAGGAATATGGAGCCCTAAGAAATGAAACCTCCACATTGTAGGACAAATCTGATTTCCTATTCCTCCCCTTCCTTCAAATCTTCATCCAGAGTCACACTGCAACTGAGGCTGGAATCAATAGACCATTCTGGAATCAATGGCAAAAGACCCCTAGTTCCACAGCTATTTTTAGCATTGACGTTAGATATGCCTCTCCTGGGTTTGAAAGAAATCGAGAAAAATGTATTCATTCTGCATAATTTCCCTAAGGATTTGCTGGTTGCTGCTGGCCAAAGAGGAGAGGAGTTGAAAGGGCACCGATGTCCGCGGCAGCCACAGCTGGGCACTGGTGCCTAATCTCAGCAAGGGCTGGGCCTTCCTCCCAGGTCCCAGCCTGCCTCACTTGGCTTCCTTACTCACCTGGATAGAAAGGCACCCCCAGCCCCTGGGAGAGCAGCGGCCCAGGTGGAGCTGCAGCAGCTGCCTCTGCCCTCCCTCAGCTCCCTTCAGTGGTCTCTGCAGCTTCACATCCCTTCTCCTTCATTCTCAGGGGCGCCCCTAGAGCACGGTGCCGCTGTGTGCCCTAGCGCTCTCTCCCCTCGTATTTCCTTGCGATACTCCCTCTGCCTAGAACCCCCTGCCTTCCCTCCCACTCCTTTGG